TAACCGGGAAAATCCGGAAAGTGGGATCTACCATGGTGGAAATAGCAAATTACCATGGTGGAAATAGCAATTCCCTAAATATATAAAATGAAAAAAGGTATAAAATAAAATATCTATAAAATAAAATAAATATATAAAATGAAAATAATTATAAATCTTCTACAATTTTATCTATTTTCACAATTGGATCCCATTCAATATTTTTTTGAATTTGATTATTTATAGTTTCTGTTTCACTATAATATTCATTATCATTATAATCCTCATCTATACTAAATTCTAATTCTTCTAAATCACTACAAAATTTATTTAAATTTATAGTATTGCTAATTAATAAATTATCTTCTTCATCAAATATTTTATCTTCCTTAACTTCTTCATTTATAGTATCTTCAGTAATTTCAATAAAATCTTCATCTAAATCCAAATTTTTATTAACTAAAATTTCATATACCTCATCACTTGTTTTTTCAATACTATAATATGGTAATTCCTGCTTAGCATGTGAATTATAATATGATGCAAGTTTTTGCATATTTTCAATTTTATACAATCCCAATCTATTTCTTCTTTTTCCATATAGCCATCCTAATCTAGACCATACATGTTCAACTCCAGCAGTATGTGGAATAATAGAAAATAATTTCAAAGCTAACTGAACAATATAATCCTCATTTTTTGGAAAACTATCTTCAAGTGAAATCCACCAAACAATTGGATTTTCAGAATTACTATATAATATATCAAATGGCTTTTCTCTTATACGATACAATTTCATTTGATATAGTAATTCTTTTCTTGCAATATCTGATTTATTCATTATACTAAAAATTTTATTAGCTAATAATAAAATATTTCTAAGAGCTCCACGTTCCCAATATGCTTCTAAATAATTTATAAATAAAAGTTTAATATTATTAATAAATAATACAAAATGCATCTATAATATTTAATATTATTATATTTGCAAATATTTAAATTATTAAATTTTTAAATATTTGTAAATATATAACTAAAATTTTTAAAATTTTAAATTAGAATAATTATAAATTAAAATATAAAATATCTATAGTGCATTTTAATAAATAAGTTTAATTTTTCTTACAATTATAGTTAGAATGTAAAAAAAAACATAACAAATATATAGTACTATCAAATTCATTATATGTATCTTTTGTTAAAAATAGCAATACATTAATTACAAAATATATTACTATTAAAATTAAGCTTATTAATTGCTGCTCCAAGATGAATAAGTTCACAAAAACAATCAGCAAGAAAACAAAATTGTGATTGTAAAGTTATAATTGCTTTTTTAACAGGATATAATATATATAATAATATGCAAATATTATCAAAAAAAGCATAAGATCTTAAAATAGAAAGAATAGCAGGTGAAAGTATATCTAAAGAATTATATTTAAGCTTTTATAAAAATAAATTTATATATATTAAAATATAAATATTAATAAAATTTAAATAAATAATTTAAAACTAATACAAAATTATAAAAAATTTATTTTTTTATAATTTTTATAATAAATTTAAATTATTAAATTTAATATAAATATTAAATATAATTACTTACATTTTCTAATGCTTCTTTATAATTAAAAATAGAATTAACACAATTATACATAGTATTCCATCTTGTATTAATATAATGTTTTAATCCTCCACCAGAAATATTTAGCTTTTTTGCTTCTTCTTTTAATTTTGCACCTATATAAAAATATTTTAATTATATTAAATTATTAAATAAAATTTATAAATTAAACATACCTGCTTGATGACTTTTTTTAAAAAAAGTTACAAGTGTATTACATTTTGTTAAAATTTTATTTGCAAAAGGAAGATTGCAAATATCTTTTGAAATTAAATTTATTGCATGAGCTATGCAACGAATATTTAAAATATTATTATATTTTGTTGAAATAATTTCTCTTGCATTTTGAACATTTGCTCCAGCATCAGTTACTATTGCAAAAAATTTGTTGCTATCAATTATTTGAATTATTTTATCTAATTCTTCAGCAATTAAATTTGCAGTATGACTTTGAGCTAATAAATCTTTTAAACTCCATAAATATTCACAATGATCTGGTGTATAAATCAAAAAACCCCAAATAGATTCATTTGATAAATTTGTCCATCCATTACATGCTATATATAAATATAAAATTATTATTATTTAAAATGGTATAAATAAAAAGAATTAATATTTCTATATCTTTTTTTAATAATATCACACCTATATAGATTATTAATTTTTATAACTTTTTATACAATTGATTAAATATAACTCAGCACTCATTTAACCAAATTCAATTAACTTTATTTTATTTTAATTATAAAAAAAACTACAAAATTCAAATAAAAAAAAAGATAATTATATTTGATTAAATAGGTACTAAGATATCTTTGATCAAAGTTTTTGTAAATTTTTAAATATCTATCAAATATAAGTTGTAATAAAAATTGTTTTCAAAAAGTTGATTAAATTTGGTTAGATAGATATCAAGATATATTTAATCAAAGTTTTTGTAAATTTTTAAATATCTATCATGCAAAAATTGCTTTCAAACTTTGATCAAAATTATTTTGACATTTACACAACCAAATTTGATTAATTTTTTTTTGTTTTGATTGTAAAAGGCTGTAAAATTTTTTAAAAAAAGTTGATCAAATTTGGTCAAATAGGTGCCAAGATATCTTTAATCAAATTTAAAAAAAAATTTTAAAAAATTAATTGAGCATGATATTATCAAAAAAGAATATAAAAATATCAATTCTCTAAATAAAATATTTTAATAATTAATTAAATTTAATAAAATTTATTATTTACAATTTGCAAATATAATTTTATTAATAATTATTAAAATATTTTAAATTATAAAAATTTTTAATTCAAATTTATTTATAATATAAATATTATCTAATATTAAATTATTAGAATAATTTAATTTTTGAATAATTTTAATATTTAATGTAGATAGTGAGTGTTCCTAGGTTCAGTTTAATTTATTTCAGATTTAATGAACCTGAACTGAATCTGAATATGAACTACAAAATTTGCAGATTATTGAATCTAAACCTGAACTAAACTTTAAATTTATGAATCTAAACTAAATCTGAACTTAAAGTTTTGGTTTATTTAGGTTCAGTTCAAAGTTTATGAACATATTCAGGTTTAGTAATAGTTTAATAACAAAATATAGTAAAAATTTTTTTGTCTTTAAAATTTTCAAATTTAGAATTTTTTAAAAAAATCTTTTTTCTTTACTAAGTAGACCTATTTTTAACTTCTAAAAAAAGTTGTAGAAGGGTGTTTTATAATCAGAA